ATCAGATGCTTTGATCAAAAAATGCCATTTCTGCAAATCTGGACTAAGGAAGAATAGGTTATGGGGGTGGGAGTGGTGAAGATTTATTTACAAGCATCCTCACCACAGCAACTAATGGAAACAGAAAATAGCTCCAATATCTAAAAGTTGTCAATCTATAAAATGGTATCTAATACAGATACTTATTTATTTATTTGAGTCAAGGTCCTGCTCTGTTGCCCACACTGGAGTGCAGTGATGTAATCATAGCTCACTGCAACCTTGGACTCCTGGACTCAAGTTACCTTCCCTCCTCGGCCTCCCAAGTAGCTGGAACTGCAGGTACACGCCACCACGCCTTACTGATTTTTTTTTTTATACCGACTGAGTCTTGCTATGTTTCCCAGGCTGGTCTTGAACTCATGGCCTCACGTAGTCCTCCCTCCTTAGCCTCCCAACATATTGAGATTACACCTCATTGAGATGAGCCACCTCATCCAATCCTAACACAGACATTTTAATTGAAGTTTCCAAATATTTTTTATGACATGGAGAAAAGCTTATGAACATCATACGGTATAATCTGAACTACATTTTTAAAACTATAAATGTTAACAGATTATTCTGAATTGTGGGAATTGGAGTGATTTTTGTTTCTGCTCTACATTTCTCTGCACTTTCCTTTTTTTTTTTTTTTTTTTTTTAATTGTTGTTTTTTTTTTTTTTTTTTTTTTTTTTTTTTTTTTTTTAAAGCGATGAGTATGTACCACTTTTGTAATCAGGAAATACATTGTGCTGGGCTTGCAGAAATGAGCCACCACTGCAGGCCAGGAAATACATTTTAAGGTGTAGTAGGATAAGGAATACTCTTTCTTTTTCTTTTTTTTGAGAGAAAGTCTCGCTCTGTCACCAGGCTGGAGTGCAGTGGCACGATCTCAGCTCACCGCAACCTCTGCCTCCTGGGTTCAAGTGATGCTCCTGCCTCAGCCTCCAGAGTAGCTGGGATTACAGGCGCCCGCCACCATGCCTGGCTGATTTTTGTGTTTTTAGCAGAGACAGGGTGTTACCATGTTGGCCAGGATGGTCTCGATCTCTTGACCTTGTGATCCACCCGCCTCAGCCTCCCAAAGTGTTGGGATTACAGGCGTGAGCCACCTCACCCGGCCGGGAACACCTTAAGCTAACAGCTACTGGACTTGAACTTCACCAGGGTGGGTGCTTTATGGCCAGCTGTCTTGTTGATTGCTGCAACCTAGAACATGGCCGGGCACATGAGGTGTTTGTTCACATTTGACTACCAGCCATCCGAGCAGAAGACAAAGACCACCTTTTCATAAAGATGGAACCTCCAAAATGGAACCAAACCCAACACAGTCATAAATACAGTTTTATAAAATAGGTGCAGGACTTTTGGCCTTTAACTCCAAACCACATGGGCTCCAGTCCCAAGTTCCAGGATTGGGAGAGAAAGCAAACACAAGGTTGTGGCTTTATCACTTGGCTTCAGTTCCCTTCTGCAAAGAGCTGAATGCTGTTGTTCATTAGTGAGAGGAAGCTTTATTTCCTTGTGCAAAAGAGCATTTCAAGTCAAGGTAGTCAGTCACACTTTGGCGAGTCCTGCTCACATAGGAACTGGGGGTAGAAGAGGTACTTTAAGTTGTACTCAGTTTGGGCTAAGCAGTTAGCAATCTCCTGGTCACACTTGCACAAGAGTTCTTGGCATTTGTTCTCTACTGGTCCTGGAAGAAGTGGGGAAGCTAAGGTTAGAGCAGGGACCTGGAGAGACTCAAGGAAAACCAGTAAAGTAGGAGGCAGGATGGGTCATAAATTACATTTCTGAGACACTTGACAGTCCAACACGTGATCTCCACATGCACAACTCCCCAGGAGGCAGGTGATGTCAGCCCATTTTACAGACAAGGAAATTGAAAGTTTCAAATGGAGAGTCCAGAGTCTGCCACACTGCTCTTCTGCATTGATATTGCACAATTTCTTTCTTTCCCTCCTTCCTTCCTCCCTCCCTCCCTCCCTCCCTCCCTCCCTCCCTCTCTCTCTCTCTCTCTTTCTTTCTTTCTCTTCCTTCCTTTCCTTTCTTTCTTGACAGAGGCTTGCTCTGTTGTCCAGGCTGGAGTTCAGTGGCATAACCTTGGCTCACTGCAGCCTCCACCTCCCGGATTCAAGCAATTCTCCTGCCTCAGCCTCCTGAGTAGCTGGGACCACAGGTGCATGCTACCACATCAAGCTAATATTTTTTTATTTTTAGTGGAGACAGGGTTTCACCATGTTAGCCAAGCTGGACTCGAACTCCTAACCACAGGTGACCCACCTGCCTCAACCTCCCCACAGTGCTGGGATTACAGGCGTGAGCCACCACACCTGGCCTGATATTACATGATTTCATTTGGGGATTCACTTATTAAAAAATAATAGTAATTTTTCTTTTTTAAGACAAGGTCTGTCTCTGCCACCCAGGCTGAAGTGCCGTGGCTAGACTGTGGCTCACTGCAGCCTCTGTCTCCTGGGCTCAAGCCATTCTCCCACCTCAGTATCCCATGTAGCTGGGACTACAGGCCCACCACCATGCCCAGCTAGTTTTTGTATTTTTAGTAGAGATGGGGTTTTGCCATGTTGCCAGGCTGGTCTTGAATTCCTGAGCTCAGCTGATCCAACCTGCCTCAGCATCCCAAAGTCCTGGGATAACAGGCACAAGGCACCACCCTTGGCCCATAATAATATATATATTTTTTGAGAAAGAGTCTTGCTCTGTCACCAGGCTGGAGCGCAGTGTCGCGATGTTGGCTCATTGCAACCTCTACCTCCCAGATTCAAGCAATTCTCTCTTCCTCAGCCTCCCGAGTAGCTGGACTACAGACTCGCACCACCATACCCAGCTAATTTTTTTCTCTCTCTCTTTTTTTCTTCTTTTTTTTAAAGATGGGGTTTCACCATGTTGGTCAGGCTGGTCTTGAACTCCCGACCTCAGGTGATCTGCCCGCCTTGGCCTCCAAAGTGCTTGAATTACAGGCGTGAGCCACCATGCCCGGCCCACCCAGCTAGTTTTTTAATTTTTAGTAGAGACAGGGTTTCACCATGTTGGCCAGGATGGTCTCGATCTCTTGACCTTGTGATCTGCCTGCCTCAGCCTCCCAAAGTGCTGGGATTACAGGCGTGAGCCACCCCACCCAGCCCATAATAATTTTTTAAAAAACTATACTTCTCAATATACTAGGCATAGAAGGAACATACTTCCAAATAATAAAGGTGATATATGACAAACCCACAGCCAACATCATACTGAATGGGGATGAGTTGAAAACATTCATTTCCCCCCAAGAGCTGGAACAAGACAAGGATGCCCACTCTCACCATTTCTATTCAACATAGTTTGAAAGTCCTTGCCAGAGCATTCAGGAAAGAGAAAGAAATAAAGGGCATCCAAATCTGAAAAGAAGAAGTCAAACTACCTTTGCCAATGGTATGATCATATACCTAGAAAACCCTAAAGACTCCTCCAAAAGACTCCTATATTTGATCAATTAATTTAATAAAATCTCAGGTTACAAATCAATAGCACTGCTGTACATCAATAAGGGCTAAACTGAGAATCAAATCAAGAACTCAGTCCCATTTATAATAGGTGAAAAAAAAAAAAGAAAACCCCCCACCCAAAACCTAGTAATATACTTAACCAGGAAGGTGAAAGACCTCTACAAGAACTACAAAACTGCTGAAAGAAATTACAGATGACACAAATGGAAATACATCCCATGTTCATGGATTGTAAGAATCAATATAATGAAAATGACCATACTACCCAAAGCAATCTACAGATTCAATGCAGTGCCTATCAAATACCAACATCATTTTTCACAGAATTAGAAGAAACAGTACTAAAATTTATATGGAACTAAAAAAGAGCCAAATAGCCAAAGTAATCTCAAGCAAAAAGAACACCTGGCCAGGCAAGGCAGCTCACACCTGTAATCCCAACACATTGGGAGGCTGAGGCAGGTGGTTCACTTGAGGTCAAGAGTTTCAGACCAGCCTGGCCAACATAGTAAAACCCCATTTCTACTAAAAATACACAAATTAGCCAGGTGTGATGGTCTGCACCTATAATCCCAGCTGTTCGGGAGACTAAGGCAGGAGAATTGCTTAAACTCAGGAGGCAGAGGTTGCAATGTTTAAAACCTCATCAAAAATTGGACACGTGACATGAATAGACATTTCTCAAAAGATATAGGAATGGCCTTTAACTTAAAAATGTTCAACATCAGTCATCATCGGGGAACTTCAAATTAAAACTACAATGAGATGCTGTCTTACCCTAGCCAGAATGGCCACTGTTGAAAAGTCAAAATAAACATTGACAGGGATGTGGTGAAAAAAGAATGCTTTTAGACTGCTAGTGGGAATATCAGTACAACCACCATGGAAAACAGTATGAAGACTTCTCAAAAAACTAAAAGTAAATTTACTATTCTTTCTAGCAATCTCACTAACTGGGTATCTACCCAAAGGAAAATAAATCATTATATCAAAAAGATATGTGCACGCATATGTTTATCACAGCACAGTTCACAATTGCAAAGATATGGAACCAACCTAAGTGCCCATTAACCAATGGTAGATAAAGAAAATGTGGTTACATATACACCATGGAATACTACTTAGCCGTAAAAAAAGAACAAAATGTCTTCTGTCGCAACTTGGGTGAAGCTGGAGGTCATTATTCTAAGTAAAGTAACTCAAGAATGTACAACCAAATACTGTATGTTCTCACTTATAAGTGGGAGCTATGCTCTGAGTACACAAAGGCATACAGAGTGGTATGATGGACACTGGAGACTCGGAGGTGGGGAGGGATAAAAAGCTGTGTTGGGTACAGTGTAGACTACTTGGGTGATGGGTGCATTAAAAGCTCAGACTTCACCACTATGCAATTCATCCATGTAACCAAAAACCACTCGTACCCTTAAGGCTACCGAAATAAATAATAAGTAAAAATTTTAAAAAAGAGTATTGCTGGAATGTTTTAATTTTTCACAACAAACATGTACTCAGTTTGAATCAAAAAGTATGTAAATGAATGGTTGAATGGTTGGATAGATGGATCCCTCACTAGGCATTCCTGCTTGTTGTTACTGGGGCAAAATTCTCACAATATAAAATCTATCATTTCAAAGAGTAAAAGTCAGTGACATTTAGTACATTCAAAATGCTGGGCATCTATCAAGTTCTAAATCATTTTTATCACCCCAGAAGAAACCCAATTCTCTTTAAGCAGTCACTGCCCATTCCCACACTTCTGCGTTCCCAGCAACCACTAGTCTACTCTCTGTTTCTGTGGATTTACCTATTCTGGACAATTCATATAAATGAAGTCATACAATATACCTGATCTCTTTTTTTGTTTTTTTACTCCTAATAGAGCAACAGAAAGCCTCTATACATGACCTCTTATGTTTGGCTCTGTTCACTCAACACTGTATTTTCTTTTTGCTTTTCTTTTCTTCTTCTTCTTCTTTTTTTTTTTTTTTTTTTTTTTGATACAGAGTCTTTCTCTGTCGCTACGTGCCAGGCTGGAGGGCAGTGGCACGGCTCATTGCAACCTCTGTCCCCACTGCAACCTCTGTCCCCAGGTTCAAGTGATTCTCCTGCCTCAGCCTCCCAAGTAGCTGGGATTACAGGCACATGCCACCATGACTGGCTAATTTCGTATTTCTAGTAGAGATGGGGTTTCATCACGTTGGCGAGGCTGGTCTCAAAGTCCTGACTTTAAGTGATCCCCCAGCCTCATCCTCCCAAAGTGCTGGGATTATAGGCAAGAGCCACTGTGCCCAGACTTTCTTTTAAGGCAAGGTCTCACTCTATCACCTAGGGTGGAATGCAGCGGCATGATCACAGCTCACTGCAGCCTGGACCTCCTGAGCACAAGTGATCCTCCCACCTCAGCCTCCCGAGTAGCTAGAACTACGGGCGTGCACCACCATGCCAGGGTCTCGCTATGTTGCCTAGACTGGTCTCAAATTTCTGGGCTCAAGTGATGCTTCTGTCTTGGCCTCTCAAAGCCTGGGCAATCATATTTTCAAAGTTCATCCATGTTGTAGCAGGTATAGTAATTCACCTGCTTTATGTTTCAACTCAATACTTACAAAGCACTTGGCACACACACTACTTCCCTGTCTCCTCGTGTTAGACTGCAGCACCTCATTGCTCTGCCTTGCCCAAAACCTAGCACGGGGCCCGCCAAACAGTAGATTCACAATAATATTTGTTGACAGACCACAGAAAACCCATACATCCTCACGCCTGTAATCCCAGCACTTTGGGAGGCTGAGGCAGCAGATCATTTGAGGTCAGGTGTTCAAGACCAGCCTGGCGAACATGGTGAAACCCCATCTCTACTAAAAATACAAAAATTAGCAGGGCATGGTAGCTAGCCTGTACCTGTAATTCCAGCTACTCGGGAGGCTGAGGCAGGAGAATCGCTTGAACCAGGAGGCAGAGGTTGTGATGAGTCGAGATTATGCCACTGCACTCCAGCCTGGGTGAGAGAATGAGACTCCATCTCCAATAAATAAATAAATAGCCAGGCGCTGTGGCTCACATCTGTAATCCCAGTACTTTGGGAGGCCGAGGCAGGCAGATCACAAGGTCATGACATCGAGACCATCCTGGCCAACATGGTGAAACCTCGTCTCTCCTAAAAA